CTGAAGCATGGATTCTGAGAGCTTGATGAGCTCCTCCATGGCCTCCATGGCTCTCTAAGCGAAGAGAATGGAGATCTGTTGATGTTGGATTTGGATCTGATCGAAATGAGGGAGGAAACTTGGGAGGAAATTTTGAATGCGAAGCTCCGGGTAAATTTGAGGATGATGATGACGTGGCAACGAGAGGGGAGAGTTTAATTAGTGCGGTCGGGAATTAGATCAACGTAAACACGTACCGTCCATTAGTTGATTCCTCATTAGTTAATTAGTGCGGTCGGAAGTTTGGTTTATTAATTTATTAACCGAGTTTCTAATTTTGGCTACTGGGGTCCGAGAAGAGGGCGCGCCTTATTTTCTTGTGTTATTTGCATATACACCCTTTAAATCACAGGTATTGCCAAAATAAACATTAAATCTTAGTATTTGCAAAACTGCCCCTCGAATCATCAACTTCGTAAAAAAATATCCTTAAAATCAACAAATTATCAACTTGGTGTTAAAAGTTTGACTACTTTGTTGATAATTTGTACGTTATGATTATGAATTAGCTTATCAAAGCTGATGATTATTTACTCTTAAGGATAAAGGTTTACTAAATTGATGATTTAACGAGTAGTTTGTAAACACCGAGTTTAGTGGGTATTTTTGCAAATACCCATGATTTATGTATATATATATATATATGCAAATAACCCATTTTTTGTTAAAGAGCCTGTCAAATAAATGATATAATGTGCAATTATACCCTCAAAGGTACTAGGTCGATTGAAATTAGGTGACTAATACATACATTCCTCTTAACAGCGGAATATTATGCCAATTTAAAAATAAACCAAGTTCTTCTCTTTCGGTGCAAATCCAACATTTGACAAATGAGTTGTTTTAAATACATTCGGTTATATCTGACCGTAGAGGAAACCAAGTGGAACCCGCATATGCATTTAGACGTAGAAAATTAATTCCAAGTTCATGCAACTTCAAATGCCTTCTAGCATTTATCGGCTAAATTACAAGATCTCTATTAAAAATAGCACCTGATGATCAGATTGATATTAATTTAGTGCAAAATATTTAAACTTGAAAGAGGCCCAAAAAAGTTTGCAGGCCAAATTTCTCTGGTAACCACTACGTGAAATGTCATGTAATTCTTAGTCTCACATCTTTCAATTAACTCATCCTTAACGTCAAAATTATTCCTCAAACCAATGATTCTTCTGTCAAAAGTTGAGCAATTGGATCCCCACAACACCCATAGGCTTATCAGCCCACTCCTACAATTCATAACCACCAATCTAATATTTGCAAAATAAAACCAATTTGAATGAAGAAGGACGAGAAGCCCCAAATTAAAAATCCTATCAGAGCTCTCTGCACGCGACGAGGAGTTCTAAGCCACTACATGGCCAACTAAGAAACCAAAAATGCCCCCTCCTAGTCCCCATGAAGGGCACAGAACGCCACAGTCGCGTGCGGATGTAATCAGGATTCAGAACTTCAGTAGAGGCCTGATTTTATTTTTAGTTAATATTTTTGTATTTCCTTTCTCGAGATAATAAACTGAGAATGTGATTCGGGCCCTTCAGAATAAAGGAGCTATGGTGGAGGAGGAAGAAAACAAGACTGAATTGAAATGGGAAAATAGTTATTATTGTCAACCTAAGTAAAGTGACTACAATTTAATTGAAGGACAAATTTTAAAAACCAACCCTTTTGCAAAAATATTCCCCAAAAACGACATGTTTCAACTTTAATTACTAAAACCGATCCAGTTTCAGCCTAAAAAGTTCCCAAGCTTCATGGGAGTAGAACTCCCGCGAAGTTTTTTGCATAACAAAACTTCACGGGAGTTCAACTCCCGTGAAGTTTGAAAACTTTTTTCGCCAAAACCGACCCAGTTTCAGTCCTGATGCTAAAACTAGGTCGGTTTTGATATTTGGAATTGAAACAGTCGTTTTTTAAAAATAATTTTCAAAAAGGGTTTGTTTTAAAAATTTGTCCTTTAATTGAAAGCCGTTAACATTAAGAGAAATTTTCAAATTATAGATGACAACGAACACAAATATAAAAAAAAGTAAATTGAGGATAGACCCCAGCCCTGTAGTTCAACTGTTGCGGAAAGACCCCTTGTACTTTCGCCCAAGTGCAGATAGACCGTAGCAACCTTTTTTTTAATCTTTTGCCCTCAAGAGATCTATTTATCTAAAACAAAATTCTATTTCTCTGAGGGTTAAAAGAGTCAAAAATCATTCAGCAGGTATACCTACAACAACAGTAGAATTATAGCGTCTTTCCACAATGGCGAGAAAGTAAGGGCGCGTTTGGTTTGTTGTTTTTGGGTGTGAAAAGACCCGAAAGCCTGACACCCTCTCCCATCCGTATCAGATTTTCGGGCAAAAACGCCTCTTGCCCGAAAACCTGACACAGTATCAGGCTTTCGGGATCAAAAAACTCCAACCAAACGCCCCCAAAAGGGGGTCTGTCTGCAATTAACCCTGTAGAAAACCTTCTAACTGGTGTCGAATAAAAACCAGGAAATGGCCACGGTAACAAAGGGGCAAGAGAGACTATACATAGTGCTTCGTTCAAACCAGAGCACAAAAAGAAACAACAAACATGCGCCACTGCCTTTTATGCCGAATTTCCTAATTGATGGGCGTTATTAGTAACGAATAGTGGGATCTCTGTTCCTAAAAGATTTTGAGTTCCTGAATGCTCGGAAATAAGAACTATGTACTCTTCAGACCATGAGATATGCCCTATTATTCTAAAAGAACAATCTCGTTCAGCAATATTGTCACTTTCTTAACATGTCACCTTAAATACTGATGAATTTTGCTTGAAGCGTTGATATGACCCGTGCTGAAATATGATTGAGCATTTTCTTCGATCTCATCTAACCTGAAATTTTATGGATGTTAGAATATGACATACCTATAAAATAAGGAAAATCATTATGGAAAAACGAACTGTAAAAAACACATACCGGTAAACATAATTTACCATGATACCTCCACTCTGCTGGATGCCTTTTTCCGAATTATCTCCCATCCAGTTCAATCTCTCAACCATCTACACGTTTGATTTGAGAAAAACATTTACACATCAAATGCTATTACATGGATTACTACATGTAGCCTTATAAAGAAAGAGTACATACAGACATATAGTTACAGGTTAATAGAAGGGGACAATAAACACAAACATAATGAAATGAACTTAACGTATTAGCAAGAACATTAAACTTAGAGGGGCCAGCAAATAATTTCCATTGCTATTCATTTCTTTCAAGGAAAAATTAGCCAAAAAAGTCTGGGGTTCACTAAATTATAAAAGAATGAAGAAACTTTGTGGTGAGGAATGTCTTTTCTATGTAATAACATAACTGCTTAACCCCTCCCACACTTATCCGAAAGCTCCCGAAGATCTGTAGCTGTTAACAGAGATATCTTCATATGGTGCTTCAAGATGAATTTTAAGTTCCTCGAACAAGTTCTGAGGACATAAGCTCGAACATATCTACCCACCAATCAACACGATGTATCTATATTATCATTTCAACATGCTATGGATATTTGATGGTTACAAGGATAATATACTACCAGTTTAAATTTGGGGAAAGGGCCGAGCAGGAAAAAAAGAGAAATTCTTAGCTGAGTGTCGTTTGTTTTTGCACAAGAGATCCTCATTCAAAACAATGGCCCGGTCTCATGATGCTTCTGATATGTTTATACTACCCACCATGTTATATACAACCCTAATATCACACCCATTGCTCGACTTATCTTCCACCTAGACCATAAAATAACAAGAGAAGTACATTAGAAGCCACCAACTTTCATAAAGGGTGTAAAGATGCCCACATTAACTGGTAGGCTAGATTCCAAATTGTTGTGGTGTCAGTCTCCAGAGCCACACCCAATGCCGGATATTATGGTTGTTGCTGGCAGAAGAAGCTGACCTTTAGTTTTTTCTTTGAATTTTTAGTTTCTGCAGCAAGTAAATGGCTGGAAGATCATGAAACCTCACTGCATTGGATAAACATATTGCAAATCCACTTTGCCGGATGAAACTAACATTGAGAACCTAGAACATTATCCGAAACATCTTTATCTTAATGATATCAGAAGCTTGACAGAACTCCACAATAAATAAAAATTTGCGGCTACATGATTCATTATTTGATCACTAGTTAACCTCATTGTTATCGTATATTCTTGTATAACATGACAGCACGAAGTTTCTCTTCAACGCTTGAACTTTTACTAACTTCAAGAGCATATATATCTTCAGACTAGGAGTATACTCTTTATCATTTGTTAATTTCTATAATTTTGGTAACATGCAGATTCATAATTATTACACATACTTCATGCTTTACCATACAAATTCATCCAGATTATGGAGTAAATGTCTAGGAGATGATGAATCATCAGTTCATACACCCAGAATGGAAATACAGATCATAGTACATTTTGCATCTTATACTAGTGTAATAAAAAAAGTCCAAGGAAGCTTGGTCAAAGTATCAATATCTAGTTAAATGCAAATAAAAGACGAAGATTCATGGGAAAGGCACAACACTTATGGACAATTGTAAAAGTCTCTCAGATCTGAGAGTATTAATGTCTAAGTTGCTATTTTCAATAAAAAAATGATGATAACCCTTACAGCTCCGTTTTGTAGATGGAAATTTGCAACTGCGTCAAGAGCTTTCCCGCGTTTCTTTTCTTTAAGTACGTACCTATATATTCTCCAAAAAATAAAAAATTATTACAACCATGAGTTGCCAGTTACGATGCATGGATACAAATATAAACCAGTTGAACTGGCACCAGAAGGAAGGATACTCTTTTCCAACCGATTAATATATAATACAGTTAAATTCTTGATCAGCAGAAAATTAGAGACTATCCTATATACTCGAGTCATATCAAATACTCTTTTGATGCTCACAACTTTTTGATTCTACAGCCAGTTCACAGTGAAAGAAATTTACATAATTAGGAGAAAGGATTTATGTAGTCGACTCCAGAAACTTGGGGAAATGCTCATCATATTCATATACATGCTTTGTTTGAAAGTCAAAGATCTTCAATTTGAGATTTTAATCAGCTGTCAAAGCTTAGTTGACAAAAATAGTAATATGACAGAAGAAAGAAACCATTAACTCTTAAATATTTAATTCTAAAAATTATATTTCATGATCAACAAAATTATGGATCAGATATCTCTTCCAAAAACCTACATTGGAATCCCACACATCTGTCTTGAAATAAGCTTAAATAACATTATATTTATGATCACTTCATAAAGAAAAAAAGATGCGCGGAGGGTAAAGTACCAAATATTGATCAAGGAAACACAAAAGGTCAGTCTGATTTTCTCTTTTTCTTCTACAAGTTGACAAGACCTCTAATTTGTTGTCCTCAAGGCATATGAAAGAATTCTCTCTGTATAGGATGTCTACTGCTGACGTACCTAGCACATAAGCGCATAAGAAGTGGCTGAAGTGCAGTCAATAATTGATTAGACTTGGTCCACTCTCTGTTGGTTGAAATTAGCAAATCATGCAGAACCTCTGTGGCACTTTCTCCACCAGCCCTGTGAGAGGATACCTTTTAGCATGATATATATCAAGATAAATATATGAAATCAAAGATAAAAGCAAGTACTCTACGATATAATCATGATATAAATTCAAATGCTGTTGATTTGGTTAATTATGTTTGGAAGGTAATCCACCTTATTTGTCACGCAGTTTAAGCTTGTGAAAAAAGCAACAAGAAGTGAATCACTCAAATCTCTTTAGACAACAATAGATCCAAGAGGGAAGAGAACATGATAATATTTTCTCAAGGGAACTACTTACATCTTCAAAGGGCAACATGATTGAAGAAGCTGAACTAAAGCAAATTCCCAAATAGCTGAGGCCTCTTGAAATGACCAACAAAACTTCAAGAAACTAGCTTTCATACATCTCATTCAAAGATCATCGAACCGTTTATATTTCTTGTTTCAGACCTACCTTATATATAACTGAATAGAACTGGACTAATGTAGTCATCTACCAGTTCCTGTTTATTCATAAATAGGCCATATAATCTGCAACATGCAACTATTTGCCTCTTCTCTACAGTAGGTTGATCTAAAACTACTTACAGGCTCCCAGATGACTTCTCATCCTATTGTAAATTTCAGACCTAGACTTAATCCCCAAATAGGCAGAAGACGGAGTAATCTTTGTCCTAAATAGATCTTACAATCTACAACAGATAACAAACTTCAGCTTCAGTTGGTTGGTTGTTTGAAAATTAATTATCAACATCGTGAATCCTATCATTAGCACAAATGAACAAGGAATCATCTTTAGCAGCAAACCAGGAGGAAATGATAAAAAAAGTCACATCACAGGTTGCATCTTTAAGAAGATCAATGTATTCTTCAAATATTAGATGTTTCATTCCTTCCAGTTACCAAGAAGATCTTATGCAACAACCAATTATGTATGTGAATATAAAGTTAAGAATAGTAGCTACTCAAAAAGTTTACATCAACTTAAATGTAACATGCTTTAGAACAAGCGTCAACACAAAGTCATTGCAAGTTGTTCATTTATGACATTGATTTATGATGACCAATACACAAGATGATTTGAGATTCTTTGGGAGCGTACACTTTAGGTACTTCATAGAAACAATTCCAAGAACTTTATCAAGTCTATCGACAATGGTAAATTGGTAATGGGTGATATTTATATGTATGTAAAAGTTACTCCTGACAATATAAGCAACATACTTTGTAGCATCGAGTATCGCTTTTTCTTCTTCTTGAAGAAGGATGTTCTCTTTAAAGGTAGAACAAGATTCCTTCTTTGACAAGTCTCCAGCAGAATCTGACTCCAGTTTTGCAAGCTTCAGTTGGGAAGCCAACTTAGAGAGAAGCCATTGCATAAATCCAGGAATAGGACTAAGAGTTGCAAAGACCTATAGAAACTATTGTATTACTGTAAAAAACATACAATATCATCAAATAAATGACAAAAAAACAAACTATTCTATTAAAATCAGACAAATAAAAACTAGGATACAAAAGGAAAAGTCATGCCAATTCTGACATTTTGCTTTCAAGGAATCTCTTCTTTAAACCTTCTGTTGTCTATATCAAGCTTGTTAGCCACTAACTAGTAACTATGAGGAAAGAACAACACAGCATTACATTTCTGAATAAATTAAAACTTACCGTGATATCTGGCATTTCTCTTCGTAACAGCTCAACCACACGTTTGATAAGAAACTTCCCAAGATTGATTCCTGATAAACCCGCCTGAATGTTTTGTGAATCATTAAATTATAATAGTAGCCGGACCTTTCATGTAATTAAATATTTATTCTATTCGGAATGGAGCTGGGTATAATCATTCGCGCGTGATTAAAATATGAAAACAGGCAGTAACATACTAACTTTCATGCCCAAAAATGGGTCATAGGAAAAAAAGGAAATAGGACTGCATACTTGATGAGATAATATAACAGAGAATCATGTCAGAAAAATCAAATAATAATAATCGAATAATCCTAGAAAATAATTCCTAGTGACACTTCTTGTGTATGTGTGTCTGTACACATACTTACATATATGTCATTGTACAAGTAATAGAGGACATATAAAGCTGAACAGAGAGAAAATTTTAACAAATGACCCCATAGATTTGGAGAAAAGGTTTGCGTTTGTTGATGTTTTGTCTGTTCTTGTTATTGTTGAGTTGTGTTACACATACATACATCTATGTCATGTACAAGTAACAGAGGACATATAAAGCTGAACAGAGAGAAAACTTTAGTAAATGACCTCATAGATTTGGATAAAAGGTTTGTTTTTGTTGATGTTTTGTCTGTTATTGTTATTGTTGAGTTGTGTTTACCTTGTTGTCCTTGTAAATGAATGCAGAATGTGTAAGGACTTTGCCAACTGACTTCTTTTTCTCGTACAACATTCTTGAAATGCTTCTAACTTGCATATGCATATGTTCAAATCCTAGTGTGTGCACGATTAAAATTGTCTCCCTCAACTTGGATGCATATAAGAGCATCTAATGAAGATAGATAATTTAGATCTACAAATTCAGCCTTAAGATAGGTTTTCTTTTTTAGGCATCCAGAAGTTCCAGTAGGCTCATGAGTCTACTCTTAATTACCCTCTGTAAGGAGGCACCTTCGATTAGGAGTCAATATATCACCAAACGATTTGGAGCAGGAAATATGTATATATCATTAAAAATAATATAAATTTACATGGCTTAACCAGGGGCTTACCCCTAGTTCGAAAAGAAGCTTAAAACATGGTTCCAGCTTGGATATATAGAGATGGATGTTGATTTGCGTTTGATTTGATTTGCAGTCTAGTTAAGTGACATGGAGGTCGATTTGATTTGGATTTGGTTTTACTTTAAATGACATTTCAGTCCTTTTTACCTTGAATTTCCATATAATGACATCTCAGTCATTTAATTTGTATTTGATTTGGATTTTAGTTTCACAACATTTCGGTCATTTTGATTTGGATTATAGTTTCACGACATTTCGGTCATTTGATTTGGATTTGATTTGGATTTGAATTTGAATTTTAGTATAATAAAATTCTGGTCATTTGATTTTAATCTTAGTTTAACGACATTTCAGTCATTTGTTTGGATTTCATTTGGATTTTGACCAACTTGATTTTGAGTGAGTTTATCTTTTAGTTTACGGACTTCACGGACAATTTTGATTTGGTTTTATTGTGTTGTACTTGCACTTTGGGTTGATCTGTGACTCTGTTAGATTTGTAGCTTCTATATGAATTTCCTTATAAAGCTCGCTTGTACTCTCTTCCATGGACCAGTAGCTTTGCTATATTATTGAGGACTTCATGTGGATAATAGGATTGTAGTAAATGCACGCGTATTTGGGTGGCGAAGAGTTGAACCCTGAGATTATGGATTGGGTCTCTAGATAGTCACTTCAACTCCACTTGTCATTATACACATAAGACAATGAAGATTCTAATTTGAATAACCATTGAAGCCTTCAGTTGATGTTACAACTAAAATATCATTTGGTGATATTCGTAGCAAAGCTCTTCGTAGTGATTTTTTTTTTTTTTTGAGTCCTTAGTTGTCAATAAACTGAAACATGAAGACATAAGATCGGAATTGACTTTTATTACTAGACTCTAGGGTTTTGGAATTTTCCCAACTAGGTGCCTCTATTTTTTTAGGCTTTCACCATAGTTAGTTCCCCTATGCGGTTTTGCCTATATGTCCTTTTGGATTTTCCTATAGCAAGGGTATACCATAGCATGGTTTTTTTTGACAATTTTACCCTTAGGTTCTTTTGAGTTTTCACTGGGTCCTTCAGTGGCTCATTTTTTACCCATGGCTTTCGGGGAGACCCACATCCTCCACCTTTTTTATGCCCTCAGCTTGTTGCTAAGCTGAACTATCGTTTTGAGTGATATCAACGTCAAACTCTTCATTGGGCAATGGAAAAATTGGTGGATGAATTTATTTGAGCCCTCAGTTTGTTATTACGCTGAAATATCATTTTGGATGATACCAGCAACGAACTCTTCATGGGGTGATGGACAATTTGGTGGATGAATTTATTTGAGCCCCTAGTTTGTCGCTACATTGAAATATTGTTTTGGCTGATACCACATCAAACTCTTCATAGGGCATTTAAGGGATATTGTTTTTTGAGTCATCGGTAGCATATTGCACTACCATTTTGGTGATACCAGGAACACCTCATTATGTGACCTAGTTTGATTTCGATTTTTAAGTTATCAGTAGTCTGCTGCACTGAAGGACCATTTTGTTGATACCATGAGTGACCTCATCATGTGACTAACGTTTTTGAAATTTTCTAGGTAGGTGCCTCTTTTTTTTTAGGGTTTTTACTTTAGGAGCAATACTAGCAATCACAGCGCAAGTAAACAACGACCGCCACTAGCATTGCTCTCACTATAGCTAGTTCTCCTACGTGGTTTTGCCTATAAGTCCTTTCAGATTTTCCTATAACAATGGGGATCCTATTTTTACCTGTGGGGGTATTACCGCAACCGAGATTTTTGACAGCTTTACCCCTAAGCCCTTTCGAGTTTTTATCAAGTCCGTCGGTAACTCATTTTTTACCCGTGGTTCTCTAAGAGACCCACATCGTCCACCATTTTTTTGTAAGGGGTTTACAGTTTATATTCATGTACCCTTGGAGTATATGTAGGTTTGCACTCTTCCACCTAAAGAGTGTGACGCTTAATTTGAATTTGAAGATTTTCTGGTCCTAATTTGGGCTCTTGCAGCCAAAAAGCGTATGACTTTATTTCTTTAATTTTGAAATTTGTGGTTTTAGCTCATGTAACTACAGAGCACAGAATTTGAATATTCTGAGAGATAAGAGTAAATTTTTTATCTCATGTACCAAATAAAATAAGTTTACGGTTTATACTCATGCACCGAAGGAGTGTTGCGAGTCGCAATTTATACTCATGCACCAAAGGAGTATTGCGAGTTGTAGTTTAAACTCTTGCACTCAAGGAGTATAGGATTTGATTTGCTTATGAACTTTCATGTCCCTAGAGGGGATTGACAGATATTTCCATTTGATTTGTTTGTTCTTCATCAGAGCTTATGAGAGCAGACTTTGAGATATTGATTTCTCCCACTTTGAGTTGCTTCTCGACACAACCTTTAAAGACGTAGCGATCTTCAATTGAGTGACTTATCAATATGTGATATAGACAATACTTGAGATCATCATCTTGTCTAACTTCTAGTGGCCTCTTTGGCATAGGAAGTTCAAGCCATTTTTCAATGTATCTTTGAAGAAATTGTACATTATATCTCTTTTGAAAAAGTATTGCTTATTCATCTTGTCTTGAAGTGTTGAGCCTTTCTGACCATTAATTACTAAAAAGAAGTAGATGCTACAAATTTCTTCTTTCTATTTGTTCTAGAGACAAATAAAGTGGATTTAATCAATTGAATCGATTGTTCAGACTTTTCCTTGTATCTTTTTTGAACTTGTCGAGATGTAGGTTGATAAGTGTCGAAAGATCCATCTTCTCCGGTGGATAAAAATAGAGCCATTCAGTTGTCAATGTTCCACATTAGTAAACATATTGTTTGCTCTAGCTCGAGATTTTGTTAGCATTTGATGCTTAGATAGACATAGGGGACTCTCTCATGTGGTTAACAAAAATATTTTCAAATTTTTTATTTTAATGGCTTTATTTATTTATTTATTACATTTATCTTTTTATTTTTATTTTACCCATTGCAATTAATGAGAAGATTGTGACTTGTGAAATTTTCTTCAAATATCAGCTTTGTCATCGTTTTTTTTTAACTTTGAGCCAACATAATTTCTAGTTAATCAATTGGTGAGCAATTTGTGCATGAGAAATTTTTTTAAAAAGACCGATTTTGCTAAATAATTAGCAAAATCGACCATTTTGCTAATTATTTAGCAAAATCGGTATTTTTTTTGCCAACAGATCAAAAAGATGTCGATTTTAAAAAACGCCTAGCTCAGATCAGACGGGACTAGTAGTCTCATATGTTTTGGGCACTCATTTGTTCTGCTCAGCAAACTCACGTGACTACTAGTCCTGTGGGTTTGCTGGGCAGAACAAATAAGTACCCGACAAATCTACGGGACTAGTAGTCCCGTAGAATTATCGGGCTATATAAAGCCCAGTTGTGCCCCAAATTAGGGCACAGCCTCATTCTCTCTCACTCACTCTCTCTCTCCCGATCTCTCTCTCTCTCGGTCTCCCTCTCTCTCAAACCTGAACTCAACCTCTCCCAAACCCATCTCCCTCCCAAACCTGATCTTCACCTCTCCAAAATCCGACCCCTCCATCTCTCCCAAACCCGATCTCTCTCTCCCCCAAACCCAACTCACCTCTTCCTCCCTCAAATCCGACGCCGACGCCATCTATTCTATCTGACGCCGACGAGATCCGAAAGTTCATCAAAATATAAATTTCTTATGTTTTCATAAATTTCTCGATATTGCTTAGTTAATATTTTATATCTAGAGAAAATATTTTAATTATGATTATCAATATGGAAAAGAAATCTAATTTATATATGATGAATTTTAATTCTTCAGTTAAAATGACGAATGGAATACCAATTATTTGCTTATTCAATAGAAAACTGAGTGTTGGAATGAATAATATACCTATATATGGAGGCTCTAGAAAAATGTTCATGTTATCTAGAAATTACAATTCCGATAGTATGATGGAGCAAGTATACAGAGTTCCTGGAATTAATGATG